GCGTCAGTGTGGGCGCCTCTTGCACGCTCTCTCACACAGGTTGCTGCCCCATGCCACCTCCCGAGCCACCTGCTTTCTCGTCCTTGCCACCTGTCGCCGCTCACTCGCCATGCCTCCTTAGGGCGCCGCTTTTCGTAACTTGCCAGCCAACCGGAAGCCAGCATTTCCGAGGGGGGATGGGTTTCGGCTTGAGATTTACGCGTTTCCTGTGTCAATGAAGAATTCCATCGAGGAAAGATTCGGCGGATCAGATCAGTGCCAGCAACTGGAAGATCAGCTAGTGCCGCACGAACTCCCGAGGAAGCACCATCTGTGGAGGAACTTTCGTCAGTGCTCAAGATTCAGGATGGTCTTCTGCAGGGATAACTCGCGGAAAGGTATATGATTTGACCAGTAGCAGGGTCATTTATGGTGTGGGTGTGTTGCATATGCATAAAAGGGTTGCTCTCTCTCTCTCTCTCTCTCTCTCTCTCTCTCTCTCTCTCTCTCTCTCTCTCTCTCTCTCTCTCTCTCTCTCTCTCTCTCTCTCTCTCTCTCATATTCTCTCTCTCTCTCTCTCTCTCTCTCTCTCTCTCTCTCTCTCTCTCTCTCTCTCTCTCTCTCTCTCTCTCTCTCTCTCTCTCTCTCTCTCTCTCTCACAAATACAAATACACACAGACACACACACACACACACACACACACACACACACACACACACACACACACACACACACACACACACACACACACACACACACACACACACATACACACACATACACACACACACACACACACACACACACACACACACACACACACACACACACACACACACACACACACACACACACACACATACACACACACACACACACACACACACACATACATACAAATACACACTTACAAACACACACATATACACATACAGACACACACATATTTATACATACACATATGCAGCATACACACATATATACACACATATACACAGACACACACACACGTACACACACAAACACACATATAAACACACACACACACCTACAATCACAAACACACATATAAACACACACACAAACACATACAGACAAACACACACACATACACACACACACACACGCACACACACACACACACACACACACACACACACACACACACACACACACACACACACACACACACACACACACACACATGCATGTGTGTGTTTTTTAATTGATATGCATAAATGTATGGATGCATGTGTGTGTGTGTGTGTGTGTGTGTGTGTGTGTGTGTGTGTGTGCGTGTGTGTGTGCATATACGTATATATATATACATATATATATATATATATATATATATATATATATATATATATATATATATATACATATATATATACATACATACATACATACATACATACATACACACATACATACATACATACATACATACATATATATATGTATATGTGTGTGTGTGTGTGTGTGTGTGTGTGTGTGTGTGTGTGTGTGTGTGTGTGTGTGTGCGCGTGTGCGCGTGTGTGTGTGCGCGCCTGGTACGTACATATGTTCGTCTTCATGAGAGTGAGTACGGTGAACAGCACACGTGTCCCTCCTGGCCCGTGTGCGTACGAGTGTGGGCCTGATTGCGAGTGTGAGGTGCGAGCAGAGCAAGGGCGCCGCCGCACCTCGTGAATGCCGGGCGAATGCGTTACCCAAGACGAGTGACGACACTGCTGGTGGCACTGGCAAGTTGAGGTGAAAGTGTTGCCTGCACCCCGGCCGTCGGCGCCTCGCAGCCTGCTCCCCTGTCTGTTTCCATTAGCACTTGCTGGTCTGTTTGTCTGCCTGGCTGTTTGGCCGCGCGTCTTTTTGTCTGCCTCCCCTGAATGTATGTTTGTCTGTCTGATAGTTTTGTATGCATGCCTGGCTCTCTGTCAGTGTGCTTGTCTCAGATGAATGACAGTGCCTCTCTGTCTGCCTGTGTGCCGTCTGCCAGGCCGATTCCCATAACAGCAGAGCCGCATTACCCTCATGTGCCGAAGTGTGTTAGGGCGGGGCAGGGCGAGGCTGAGCGAGGCAGCCGAGGGACGCCGCTGGTCAATATATAAAGCCCTTAGAAAACGCCCGTCGAGATTCATTGGTAATCCGGAGCTCGCGGGCGGCTGTCGGCGAGGAGGGTTGCACATTCAGTGTCATAATGACCACGCCAATGCCAATGTCAATAGATGCACCGCTGTGGTCACTGCCCTCCTGCCTGTCCCTTCCCCCCCTCCCCCATTTCCCCTTACCCCCCTTGTCCCCGTTACCCCACCCCCCACCCCTCCCTCCTTGAGCCGCGACGTCTCGACCATTTTTAGCAAGGTCGCCCACAGACATGAAGCGAATAAGGTCAGCGCTGAAAGGTACCTTCTGAGAGGCGGACATGGTGGCTACGTTGCGGGACTGAGCCGTGCGCTACTGCTGGGTCACGGAGCCCCGAGTCTGGCGACGTGTGGCACTCCCTGAAGGAGGAGGAGGAGGAGGAGGGGGAGGGGGAGGGAGGGGAGGGGAGGGGGGGAAGGGGAAGGGGAAGGAGAAGGGTGGGGGTGGGGGGTTAAGTGCAACAGCTATCCGTACGCGGGAGGAGAGAGTTGGGGAGGAGGGGGAGGGGAGAGAGCGAGGGAGAGAGGGAGAGAGCTTGGCAAGAGATATGCGAGAGAACATAACGCGAGATGGTTAAAATGGTGCCGTCGGGACTGACTAGGGCGGAGAAGGAGAAAATGAAAGCCTGTTTTGCCTTTTTTTATGTCTATTTTTCTTTGACTTTTTACCCCATTGATTGTCTATTTTATTGATCGGAAAATATTTCGTTTCATTCAGTTACAACAAATTACATTAACATTAAGTAGATATTCATAGACTGTAAAGAAATTTTTTTTTTAAATATGCTAATCACCTGTTAATGGCAAAATCTGTCGCGAAGAAAAAAAAATCGTTACTCAAGTCTAAATTCAGAAATATATAAATAACAGAAAGACAAAAAGAAACGAAAAGAAAAAGAAACAAAACGAAAAAGAGATAAAAACAGATGAATATCCGAAAAGTAGGTTAGCAGTGGTACTATTAATTTTAAACATAGTAATGTATCTCTTTATATAATAATTCTTGTTTGAACTCCGTCTTGTCGATAGTGAGAATAATGATATGTCAAAAATACATATCTAAGGATAGACTGATACTAGTGGTGATTATAGTAGCAATAAAATGCAAAAGATGAAAATGATAATAATGATGATAGTGATATCATTATCGGAGTAGTAATGATATTATGATCCTAATGGCAATTGTGTTATTGATATCCACTGCAATATTTGTTTCTTTTTTCTTTACTATAATCAGTATTGAAGATGTTGGAAGTAAAAAGATAATGATTGAGATGATTGTGACATGTTGACAGTGGAAATGACAGCAGTGCTCTTAGTTTTATCGTTATCATTATTAATGTTATCAGTTCAGTATGATTATCTCTAGTATTACCATTAATGTTATTATCATAGTTGCAATGACAACAGCTGTACTGAGAGAAGAAAATAAATTATTAACAATTAGCAATGTACATGACTATGACGTCGAAAGCATAACTGTACCGGTAATGTCACTATTAACAGTAGAAATGACAAATGATAATATTGTCAATACTAATGACATGCGGCTGTGATAAGAGTGATGATCAGGACGGAAACTACGTTAATGAAGGTGGTGATGATATTATTAATGTGACGCTAGTGATACAGCCGGAAATAGAAATGAATATTGGTAGTATTAATATGTTGATACCGTTAATGAAGGTGGTGATGCAGCTTTAATTCTAAGTCTAAGTGTGTGTGTGCGTGTGTGTGTGTGTGTGTGTGTGTGTGTGTGTGTGTGTGTGTGTGTGTGTGTGTGTGTGTGTGTGTGTGTGTGTGTGTGTGTACATGTTTGTGTGAGTGAATGTGTGTGTGTATGTACGTGTGTGTGTGTGTTTGTGTGTTTGAGTGAATGTGTGTGTGTGTGTGTGTGTGTGTTTGTGTGCGTGTGTGTGTGCTCACTAATTAGATAGGCAATCATAATGATTTCCAAAGCAATTAACCTGTACGTACATAACAGCGATTACTCACATAGCAACATTTATTCGGGACGCCCACTTAAGAAATTCAATAATTTTCGAAGTGACCAGATTTTCGGCCTTATTTCTAAATGGAATAGAATCCATTTTGGCGGAAAATATCTCCAGTGTCTCCTTATCCTTGTCTGTCTTTTAACTGTGAATTATCACGTTTATAGTTGACGTGATAGCGTTTATCAGTGCGTTATCTGAAGGTGAAGGAGATCTTTTCGTGTGATTTGGCTTACTAATAAACAAAATGAATTTTAAAGCTATTTTCAACTGGAGAAGAATTTTTTGGTGTCGTAAAATGAAAACTGGAATATGCTCTCTCTCTCTCTCTCTCTCTCTCTCTCTCTCTCTCTCTCTCTCTCTCTCTCTCTCTCTCTCTCTCTCTCTCTCTCTCTCTCTCCCTCTCCCTCTCCCTCTCCCTCTCCCTCTCCCTCTCCCTCTCCCTCTCCCTCTCCCTCTCCCTCTCCCTCTCCCTCCCACCCTCCCTCCCTTCCTCCCACCCTCCCTCTTTCTCTTCGCTTTTCCCTTCCTTCCTCTAAAATACGTAAATGACAATTCATGATAATCACCAGGTAATCGAATTGTCATTGCAGACACATCTACTACAGAACTTATCATATGACCCACATAAACAATGCAGGGGTGTAGTTCTGACGAAAGGTATGTGGAACAGACTCCCTTCGCAAAGCCATTCAAGACACTGCTAGCCCTAATTATCATCCCTCAGGATTCGACTCTACAAGTAAATGATGTACCGTTATTCAAATTTATAAAAGGAAGAAAAAGATGCTACAAGTAAATGATGTACCGTTATTCAAATTTATAAAAGGAAGAAAAAGATGAAAAAAACATTAGACTGGGAAATTTGTTTTTTTTATTATTGTTCGTGAGTGTCTCTGCCGGATGGTGATTGTGGACACTTGTTTATTTAGTCCGGTAAAGTGTTTCGGTGGAAGGAGCGTTTTCTCCCGTCGTTAAACGAGGAGGCATTTCGACCATTTTCCTTTTCGCTTTCATTTCTCTTTATCATTTTGTTTAATTTTCTTCCATTTTCATTTTCTTTTTTTCGTTATCATTTCCTCTTATTTTTTTTAAAGATAAATTCCTAAAAGATGTAAATTCCATTTATATTCCATTTTCTTTTCTTCTTTTCAATCTATTACTAATTTTCTCTTTATCATTTTGTGTTTCATTTTCTTCCATTTCATTTTCTCTTTCGTTTTCATTTCCTCTTTTTTTTAAGATGAATTCTTAAAAGATGTAAATTCCATTTATATTCCATTTTCTTTTTTCTTTTCCATCTATTACTAATTTTCTCTTTATCATTTTGTGTGTTTCATTTTCTTCCATTTTCATTTTCTTTTTCCCTTGCCCCGCGGTCGCTTTGGCGCTTCAAGATTCGAATCTGTTTTCCCACAATGCCCGGTGTTGATCGTGACGTCACAGTGCAGAGGGAGAACTTGCCGCCATACTGAGTGTAATTGTGAGAATTCTTTTGAATCCCATGCCATCCGTGCGATTTCTCGATGTTGAACGCTAAATACATGACATCTTACCACCTTCCATTTCCGAAAAGTGCTTGCGAGGGAGGAGAGTGTCGGGATGGCCGGTAAGTACGGAGGAGAATAGACGCGAAGTGGACGAAGCCGATTCTCCCTTTTTTCTCGCTGGAGGGAGTGAAGTGTCGCCGGTGTTTGAGAGTTTGAATAAGAGTCTCGCCGGCCGACCTAGGCGAGTGTGGCGGCGACCTGCACGCACGCACGCCCACCACAGTAACTCCATGATGTCTGATTTTGCAGGCAATGGGGAGATCCAATGGTGCTTCTCGCAAGTCAAGGGAACGCTCGACGACGATGTTAGTGAAGGTAAGATTATCGTGTTTTTTTTTTTTCTTCTCCTTCTCTCTCTCTCTTGTTCTTTCTTCGCCTTCCTTTCCTCTCTCTCTCTTCTTTTTTCTCATTGTTCTCTTAGTCAGATCCCGCCGCCTTTCTTTTTTTTCTCTTTCTCTCTTCCCTGCTTCGTTGCCGCCTCTCTCTCTCTCGTCGCCCTCCGTAGTATTAACCTACATTTTTTGTGTGTGTGTACTCGTAGTGTACTCTGACGAATTCTTCAGTATATTTACTCTCACATCCTAAGCAGCCACGTTAGATAAGAGAAATTATATTAATCGTAGTACAATTAATGCCTCTGTTGCCCTTCCTCGTGAGTGTGCTGCCCCTCTCACTCGTAGGAGCAAGAGGTTGATAAACTCTGAGCAGGAGTAGCACCTCGGGGCCGTCTCGGGGCTGCTACTTGGCATTGCATCACCCCTGGGCTGCCTTTCCCTGCTCTCTAGGGGCAGGGATGGGGCAGGTCCCTCCATGGGAAAGGAGGTCTTTTCTGAAGGGGCTTTGGGCTTCCTCTCTTTCTCCTGCAGTGGGCTTAGGTTTGGTTTTGTACTTGTTTGTCTGTTTCCTCTGCTTTTTGGTGGAAAGGGCATGGAGATAGCGAGTTTAGAATTTTGGGTAGATAGGCGTAGCGCACACCTTGGTAGGAGGTCTTTGCACTATCACTTCTGTAAGGTGTTGAAGGGAGTGTGGTTTCCCCTCCATAGAGGTGGATATTAATTCTTTAAAGATATAAATTGGTTTTTATTATATATATATATATTTTTTTTGGGGGGGGGTTAAGATCCTGGCAAGACTTACAGGAGGTAAGTCTGATAATTCTGAAGTCCTCCTTTCACCTTATGCTGATAGTATGTCTGGTTTAAGTTGTGCAGATTTAGGATGTCAATTTTCAGATATGTGCATACACAAGGGATTTGTATTTCATTTAGATAATGTTTACAAGACACCCACATAGTTGCCACTAACTTAAGCTACCTGCTTTCATTGGCCTCCACGCCTTCCCTCCTCTAGCAAAGACAATTAATCTCTGCCACATGCATTCTGGGTGGAACAATACTTTTAGATTCCTTGGCAGTTTATCAAATAAGAAATCAATCCAGGTTCTCAGACTAGGATATATTTGCTGGATCTGTTGTTCTGCTAAAGTGTTCATTGTACAGAGACCATGGAAGGTTCTTGCGAATATTCTGCTGCGCCTAAGATTGTAGGCCTTTCATTCCATATCATTACAGCTTTCGGATTGATGCATCCAAGGTAATTGCAAGGGAAAAGAAAGATTTTAAAAACTTCAGATGTCTTGGAGAGATTTATATGTTAAGACCTAATATGGGGAACCAAAGCATGAATTTTACCAGACCATAACTATGTATTTTTTTTCCTGTTTGTTTGTACCTAAGATGTAGTTTGACTTATAGATTACAAGAGGCCTGTTAGCATTAATAATAAAATACCAACTTTTCAGGGGAAAATAAGATGTTAGAAAAGATAGAGGTATATGTACTAGTTATAAATGTTTATTGATTTTGGTTGGCAAAATGCAGAATATAACTAGTTAATATAATATGATGTTCCTGATAGTAGGGGAGGGCATGAAGTATTTCAGGGAAATAATGGGGTAAAAACAAGTCTAAATATAATCAAAATTGAACATTAATCTCTATAGATATGTGTCATCAATTAAAATTTACAGACTTTAATGATATGTGGAGAAAAAAAATGCACAGACTAACTACTCGATATGGAAATGCACCAACTAAAATCCACAAAATGGAGATTCTGCCACCATTTCCAACAGGTTAACCTGTAATGGATAGGGCATGATAGATTGACCACAGTAATTGGAAACTAAGCATTTCCCTGTGTAAATTAGATTTTGGGTTTATCTCGCTACAAATTTGCTTTGTGAAAACCCTGTAACTTGTGTCCAGAAATGCTAAAATAACACCTCTTTTTCTCTTTAATTTCCATGTATGGTAGTATAATACACAGTACAATAAATTAGTTCTGGTATCACATGGAGTTGGATAGAAATATTTTATTTTTTTAGCAAGGTCACTCTATTGCTTATTAGAAAACATTCTATAACCAGTGTCATACAATATCAAAGAACTGATATTAGGTACAATAGCAATAATGTATAAAAGAGACCAGAAAATATATGTAGAATGTATTTACAAATGTGGCCATGAAAATATGCACATGTTGAATATCTTAAAGGCAATTGAAATATGTAGTAAATTGTCCACTGTTTTCAGAATGCATAAAATATTGAAACTAGAGACATTTGATTAAAAATAGAAAAAAATCTTAAGATTATAGTTCTATAGAGACTAGTTGACACATTGCTTAGTTAATGTGTCTTCAACAGAGAGCACTGAAATACTGCAGCAATAAGCATACACTAAGATGAATAGAGGCTAACTGTGGGACAGCATATCTTGTATGACAAAGGCCTCGTTGCCTGCATGTGGATCAAAATCTGGGCATTAGGCTTACTTGAGTGGCAACACACACTCGGGTGTGGCTTGTAGGTTCTGCCCACAAACTCTCGTGTAGTTCCAGAACTCCTTGCGTGTTTTTTGCTGTTTTACTATTTCCTTAGGTCAATATTTGTTATTAGTTATTTTCTATCAACATAGTAGTAGATTTTTTGTTGTTATATGTTATATTTGTAGGCAGTCTACAATATTCAGTAGCAATAAAAATTACATTGTGTTTTTTTGTGTAATTTTAAATATTTTTGTGCTATTCTATCTTCTGTAACCCTGCACTGCCAGTCTTGGTGGTCAGGAATGGGAACCTGAGCATGGAAATTGTGTCCTCCCTGTAGCCAACACTCTTCTAGTCATGGTTCAGAGACAGTAGGTTCCACCCTTGTTTACCAGTGAAAATAAAAAAAGAGCCCCTTCCTAAATACCCATCAAGTCTGATATTTCTTCAAGCGCTTTGTGTACTCCTGGCTAGACATTCCTTTCGCTTGCCACTCCGCAGCAGTATCTCAAGACGTCATTGTAAAATCTTTGGGTAAAAAAAATCTCTGATAATCATATGCGTAGTTCCTTATCTGGCTAGAGCAGGAAGTCCACAAAAAGCTTAGTTGATTAAGGAAATATCCATGAATGATTGGTGTGATCACATCAAATCCTTACTTCCTTGAAATCCAACAGTAGACAGAATATCAAATGTTATGTTGAATAGACATTTGATGGCTACAGAGTATGCAAAATGCCTAGGATCTTGAGTAATAGCAAAAACCAACCTCATGTTGGTTTTATCACCAGAGAATATTTTCCAAGGAAAGACTTTATGGAAGATAAAGAATATGTGGCACAAAGATCTTGTTCTGAAATGATTTATAAACATATATCAGCAGAAATCTAGCTTCACCATTTTTAGTCATGAAAACAATGTGTAAAATTGAAGTGCTGTTGGAGTAAATAATTTATTAAATGAATCTTCGTTGTTTTCATCTTCCATGTTGTGAAGGTACTAAGTATATTGTATATATATATATATATTTTTTTTTTCCTACTGAAAATGGTTCCCTCTTGTCTTTTTTAACCTTTCAGTTCAATTATTGGCATTATTGGTAAAATTATAGTTTAAAGTATATGAGAGAGAGAGAGATTGATTGATTGATTGATTGATTGATTGATTCTGGACATTTGATCATTAGATGAAGATGAGAAAAATAGCTTTTTGTTTTAATGGCTAAATTATACATGAAGGGTAAATCTAATTCACATTTTTTACATTAGAGCCATTAAAAATATACAAACATGGAACATGAATATCGTGAGTATCAATTGTACTGCAATACTGAGATGGTTTGACAGAATTTGTTGAATCAGTTGAAGGGTTAGGCAGTCCAGAAGTTATATCATATAGTGATTTGATTTTCAATGCTATTTACATAGGTCACTTTTAGGAATATTTTTTCTTTTATAGTGTGTGCAGATCCACCTGTATCTGAGGAGGTGAATTGTTAATTTCAAAGTTATTGATTTTTACTTGTTTTGTGGGAGACCAACTAATTTGTTCTCAAGTTTATTATTTTTCGTGTACTAAATTTTCTTCACAAATAAATGTAGCTAGCAAAGAAAATGGTGTTGCACGTGAAGCTAGGAAAAGATTAGTTAATAATTAAATCTGATTTACATCAACATACCATAGGCCATATAATTATTGATGAAAAACTTTAGTTACATTTTGCCTCACTCGATTTGCCTCACAAGATGGAGGGGGTGATCAAGTACAGGAGAAATATTGTGGGAGAGACTAGAAAATATCATATGTGTTAAATATTTGGGAAAAAAAAAAAGAAAAAGAAAAAAAAAAAGAATGCTTCATATGTAAATCACAGTTCAAGTGCTTACTATAGCCTTAGCTTTATCAATGGATCCTAACATTCTGTTGAGCTTTGGAGGTGATGAGTAGAACCTCAGGTAGCTCAATCTTGCTAAAGATGCATCAGATATTTTTGTTAATCATTTGAGGCCAGAAGCCAAAACAGTCACTTAATGCTTAGAGCAACTAGCAGCAGTGGGTGCCACTGACTATTTTGATGCTGTTCCACACATACCACATGTATTTTGTTAACAATGGATATCAACACAGTATTTCACGGTTGCTTTTACCCTGCGAGTCCACTGTTGTGAGATTCTGTTACCACCTAAATGTGTGTGCAATTTCAGTATGAGTAACTACAATGAAGGAGTCTAAAACAAATCGCACAGTTTATTGGTGTGTTACAGAAACTAGAATGATTGAATAGAGAGAGGATATTCTTCAGTCATGTAGAGGGATCAAGATTTTGAAATGGGGGAGGAGGGGGGTAGGCCTTGATATGTTTACGAGAATGTAGGTCGTGGATCTCCTAGGGGTAATGCAAACTGTCTTATTTAAATAAGGTAAAAATTAAATTACCATTCATATTGAAATATTAAACTTATGCAAAATATCTTATCTAAAGTTAC